ATATGGCAGAAGTTTTCGAGCACTCAAGGAGGCACATGCTGATTTTACAAGAGGAATCTGAGGAGGAGGAGATCATTGGCGGTGGGTCTAACCCCCCTATGAAGCTGCGTACTACTGTTGATCTGGCGGAGGAACCTGACACGAAACCCAGGGCTCGCCCACGTCTTCGAAAAGGAGGAGCAGAATGTCCTCTTATCTCGACCCACAAGGATGGGGGTTCTACTCCTTCTGATGTTCTGCTTGACGTGGAGGAGAAGGAATTTGTTGCTACATTGGAAAAGCCTGCTGATGTGGATCAACAACATGACTTTGACTCTGATGATGATCTGGCAGCTGAGGAGCATCATTCCTTTGAAATCAAGCGGCGGTCGCCAGCCGAGGACACCAGGAAAACTCGCCATATCATGAAAGGGCGTGTTCACCAAGTGGTGGAGGCATTTGAATCTGGGTTAGTTATTGCAAGTGAGGAGGATGATGTGGCCAAGGGAGATGTTTCAAGGCTGAATGAATATGGGTCTAATATGATGGACTCTATCATGGAGAATCGGAAACGTGTGCTTGATGAGTTGGAGGGGGATGTGGGTAACCCTCCTACCCCAAAGAAACAGTTTGTGGAATCGATTGATGATCTGGATAAGGTGGAGGAAGCCAGCCTTGAGTGGCCCCAGGAGGATAAATGAGGCTTCTCGCCTGGAATGTGAGAGGAATTAGGTCGTCCCTCACTTTCCAAACTGCTTTAGGGCTTGTTCATTCCAATAAACCAGATCTCGTGTTTTTCTCGGAGACACGATCGAGCCGGCGTGTAGTGTCCCGTCGTATGCGGGGTCTAGGTTTTGCTCTTTCTCATTGTTTTTTTTGTAGATGCAGTCGATGCATCGGGTGGTTTATTAGTTGCTTGGGCCCCCGGAGTTGACACTTTGGTGTTTTGTCATTCAAATTTCTATGTTTGTTCGCTTATTAATGAAGGAGATTTTTCTTATGTGGTGGTCTTTGTTTATATTAGCTGTAACATTGCTATTCGAGCTACCCAATTGGCTCTTTTGCGGAACGTGTGTGCGAATATCAATCACCCTTATGTAGTCATAGGTGGTTTCAATGCTACGCTTCATGAGAGTGAAAAAGATGGGGGACGGGCATGGAATTCTGCCCAAGCCTTTAGTCTCCGTGAATTTGTTCATGATTTGGGTCTCCATTACCCTGATTACCAAGGGGATCAATTTACTTGGACAAATAAACGCATGGGCGATGCTTGCATTCGTGCACGTATGGATAGAGCGATTTGCTCTCAGTCCTGGATTGACACATACCCGGAGACTTTAGTCAAGCACTTCAAGGACCAGGGATCTGATTATCGTGCCCTTCTCCTTGGTGATAAACCATATGTTCGTACTAGTCGACCCCTTTTCCGTTTTGATGCCCGTTGGGTGGATAATCCGGAGGTAAGGGCCATGGTCAACTATGTCTGGCAGGAGGAGATCCAAGTCACCCCTATGTTTCGACTGTGGGAGCGCCTGAAGAAACTCCGTCATCTTCTCTATGATTGGAGCAGGGCGGGCACAACTAATTCCCTGCGCAATATCAAGACACTCCAAGCTGAGATTGATAGGATAAAGTCGATCCATCCGGTGGATTGGGATGAGATCAGGACCCTGGAAACGGAGCTTTCCCGCCAGTGGGAAGCGGAGGAGGTATTCTGGCAGCAGAAATCGAGGGTTAAATGGTTAAAAAAAGGAGATCAAAATTCTGCCTACTTCCATACGGTCACAAGGGCTCGGCGGAAGAGGAATTTCATTTCCGGGCTTCGAAGGGACGATGGTGAATGGGTCACTGAGGAAACTGGAAAGGCTTCTGTTGCCACCAACTTTTACCAGACCTTGTTTACCTCGGAAAATCAGGTTCCTAATATGGCTGAGAGGATGGCAAATCTGCCGATTGCCCATAGTGTTACTCCGCAAATGAATGCGCATTTGACGGCGGAGGTGTTGCCTAGTGAGGTCCGGAGTACGGTCTTTTCCATGGGTTCGAAACAGGCCCTGGGATCGGATGACTTCACAGGGAAGTTCTTTAAAGCTTTCTGGGATATTGTGGGCACTTCAGTGGTTGATGCAGTAATTTCCTTCTTTACCTCGAGTCGGATGCTGCGAAGTTTTAACCATACTTGGCTCACTTTGATCCCTAAAGTGGACTCGGTGGAAACAATTAGACAATTGCGTCCGATTAGCCTCTGCCAGTTTGTTTACAAAGTGTTTACCAAGATCATGGCTGAACGGTTGGCTAGCGTGCTCCTTCAGATCGTCTCGGAAGGTCAAAATGGCTTTATCAGAGACCAGCAGATTATTGATAACATCCTTATAGGACATGAACTAATGCATTATCTGAAAATAAAAAAGCAAGGAAAAAAGGGGTACATGGCTCTGAAGGTTGACATGGAAAAGGCCTATGATAGAGTCGAATGGCCCTTCCTTCTTGCAGTTTTGGATAAGATGGGTTTTAATTCAGTCTGGCAAGGATGGATTCATGAATGCCTTCGATCCTCCTCTTTCTCGGTTCTGATGAATGGTACACCCTCGGGTTATTTCACTGCCTCTAGGGGCCTTCGCCAGGGGGATCCGCTCTCTCCTCTCTTGTTTGTTCTCTGCACGGAGGGGTTTGTAGCCCTCCTCCGAAAGGCGATCGCGGAGAAAAAATTAGAGGGGGTGAAAGTAGCTCCTCAGGCTCCAAGAGTCTCTCATCTGTTCTTCGCGGATGATTCGTACTTATTTTTGCGAGGGTCCCTACAGGAGTGCGAGAATTTAATTGAAGTGTTGAATGAATATGAAGAACTGAGTGGCCAACGCGTTAACTTGGGGAAATCGGCGGTGTGCTTTAGCAATAATATTTCCATGCCGGATCAGGAGTTCTTGGCCACGATCCTCGGGGTTGGTGCGGTGGGGGTCCACAATAAATATCTGGGGCTTCCAACGCTGGTTGCTCGATCTAAAATGGCTACTTTCAGATATTTGGAGGAGAAACTCCTAGAGCGGCTTCAGGGGTGGAAGCAAAGGACGTTGCAATTGGCTGCGAAGGAAACATTGATAAAATCAATAGCGTTGGCTCTTCCCCTTCATGTTATGTCCTGTTTCCGCATTCCTCTGGCTCTTTGTCGTCTTTTAGATAGACATGTGGCCCGGTTTTGGTGGGGTGCCGAGGACGAGAATCCCAAGATTAGATGGGTGTCCTGGCGTAACATGTGCAGGAGTAAGCATGATGGGGGGATGGGATTTCGCCAGTTTGAACATTTCAATCAAGCTCTTTTGGCTAAGATAGGCTGGCGTATTCTCAATGAACCTCAATCCAATATTGCCCAGGTTTATAAAGGCAAGTATTTCCCTCAAGGGTCTTTCATGACGGCGACAGCTAGGTCTCGTCCCTCTTGGGGGTGGCAGAGTATCCTTCATGGGCGTCAGTTATTGGAGATGGGTTTAATATGGCAAGTTGGTAATGGCCAATCGGTCTCCCTCCTCCATGCTAACTGGATTCCTAGGTACCAGCTAGATTCCCCATGCTATAACCCGCGGATCTTGCCTGAGGGGGGTGATCCCTTGGTGGCAGAGGTTATTGGGGAGGGGGGAGGGAGGTGGTATGATGAGAAGCTCAGTCAATGGTTTGATCCGCTCACTTGTAAGGCTATTAAAGCTATTCCGCTTCCGCGTTGGAATGTGCCTGATAGGCTTATCTGGCATTTTACGACCGACGGGGTTTTCTCGGTTAAATAGGCTTACCATTTGGCTGTCGATTTAGACAGGAGGAGGGGTGGGTGGCGATCCTCGGTTAGCTGGATGGATAAGCCAAGTTGGATTAGAGTTTGGGAGGCGAAGATCCCTCCGAAGTTGAAGGTTTTTGTTTGGCAAATTCTTAATCGGACTCTGCCGACTACAGAGGCGCTTATTGAGAAAAAGGTCCAAGTGTTACCTCGGTGTCCAGTTTGTTGGGATGCCCCGGAGACAATGGAACACCTGTTCCTTTATTGTCCGGTTGCGCGGGCTCTCTGGGATTATTCTGGGCTGGAATACTTGGGGGAGGGTTTACCTCGGCATACTTTTCCTTTGTTTCTCAAGCGTCTGTTGGAGTTGATTCATCAGCCGGCAGTGTTTATGGCTGTTGTTGCCGTCCTTTGGAGGATCTAGAGATCTCGAAATTGCGTAGTCTTTGAAGGCAAACAATTTGGGATCCCAGTACTCATGCGCCAATTTAACCAGCAGCTTGAGGAATGGGTGGGTCTACCTGTGGGCTAGGCGCCTAGGGTGAAAATCCCGGTGATGCACCCGACCACACAAGTGGATGATTCCCATTTGGTTTGCATGTGGGACGGGGCTACTAAGGGTGGATCACATTCGGCTGGTGGGATGGTTCTTTTTGACCCAGCACGGACACTCCTTCTGGCTAGAGGGGTCCAGTTTTCTCAAATGGATGATCCTGTAGTGGTGGAGTTGCTTGTGCTCAGGGAAGCTATTATTTGGTGTGTGGAGCAAGGCTTGTCGGAGGTCCGTTTTGAGGGCGATGCGAAGGTGATTATTGATAAAATTAATCAAGCCGACACAAGAGATAGCCGGTTGGGTGCTATTCTGGAAGAGATTAGACATTATTTTCGTACTCAGCCTGGCTTTAGTGTGCGTTTTGTAGGTCGCGAGAACAATAGGGTAGCTCATTTGGTAGCTAGGAAAGCCCTCTCTTTGTATCCGACTATGAGTCGCATCTTCGATTTCCAGACCTGGCTGGCTTCCAGGGTGTAACTGTCTATTGTTTCTATCAATACATGATATCTTTTGACAAAAAAAAAAAATAGATATGATTATATACACACCACACAAGGTTAGCTCTCCCAAGTCCCAATTGAGCTTATGGTGTATTGGTGTTTGTAGGTCGAGAACGCTTCCAGGCTGAAAGCTGCATGTTTCTCGGCAGTCGGCCCACGATGTATAACAGGCCGAAGGATCCATTTCATGCTCTAATCCAGAAGAGCGGGACGAGATCGGGCCTCATCAAGACGCCTCTCGGGGGAGGCAAAAGTTTGAAAAAAATAAAAATGTCGCTCCGAAGTCCCAACTCCTAGTCCCGCCGGCGACTTCGGCAGCAGTTTTAGCAAGGCAAAGCAATGGTGGATTTCAAGAGCTCTGACATCAGTCTCTGGAAACAGGCGCTAGATTGTTACCCTGCCCGGATAGCTTCTCTCAACAAGCCCAACCTTGCATCCCTCGATGAATTCTACCGCATCGAACTTCCTTCCGCAATTCACCGGCGGAACCCTAAACCCTACATCACCACTCCCGAGCTCGCGAAGCTCATGCAGTGGAAGCTCTCCCGGGGGAAATGGCGCCCCCGATTGCTGGATTTTGTCTCATCTCTGGACGAGGAGCTCGTGAAATCGGCTTCCGGAAAGGCGTTCGAGTCGCTCCCTGACCTATCGAAAGCGGTATCTGCTCTCACGGTTCTGAAAGGCGTCGGTCCGGCCACTGCGTCCGCCGTTCTAGCCGCCTATGCGCCGGATGTCGCCCCCTTCATGTCCGACGAAGTGAGGTTCTGGAGCTATTTGACTTTTTCTTTGTTAATTTGCTGCCTCTCCTTTCCAGTTTAACACTTGTATTTATTGGTGGATTTGGTGGAAGGCTATGGAGGCGGCTCTAGGTAACTCTAAAGACTATACCTTGAAGCAGTATCTGCTGTTTGCTGACAAACTGCAAGCTAAAGCGAAGGTCAGCTTCCTCTGCCTATTGGCATTTCCATTTCTAATGTGTATGGTCCAGATGAGCTTTTTAACCAATCGACTCGGAGCCTTCATTCTGTTTCAGAGTTTCCGAGTGAGGCTGTATTCCAGCTTAACCATACCAATCACAGTCCACAGAGGAGGGTTTTTTCTTTTGCTCCTGTAGCGAACTATGAACTCGATAACGGTGGGCCATGATTGCCTGTTGTTTGTAGTCACTGAGTGAGGGGATTATGATGAGCATACAATCTGTTAGAACGACAGGAAGAGAGGGCTAGCTTGAATTGCAGATTCTTATTATTCTGATTGAGCTCTACCAGCCTGAGTTTTCATGTTCTGGTCCAACTGCATTTGGCCTACGCTACCTCAATCGTCGAATGATTAAAGAACTAAGTGCCTATGTGAGAACCTCTAACGAGGTTTTTGGTTAACCAACATCCAGATTCGTGACTTCTGTTAGCTGATGGCTGACAAACTAGGATATTGTGTATCACTAGTAATTGGTCGGCATGAGTTGAGAAGTTCCTGATTGTCATCTTTACAGCTTTACATTGCTTATCCTTTCATCAAAAAGAGGGTTTATGGAACTGCCTAAAAGCAGTAGTGCAGCCAATTTTAGTTATCTATATAAGATAGTGATAAACATTTTTTCCGTGGGAAGATGCACAACTAATTTGAACAGTCGGAGGGTGACCATGACTCCATGAGCCTGTTTCTTGTTGCTATATGCACTCCGTTCTCCATGCGCCTGGTTTTATATGTGTAATGTAATTTTGTTTCTTTCTTTTCAGGAACTAAACACAATTGGCGATTCGTTCACATCCTCGGATGTAGAAAGAGCCTTGTGGAGCTCGATTACACAAACCAAGCTCGATTCACGTTCAGACACATCCTCCAGGACCAAGACAAGTCAAGGCAGCAAGAGAAAGAGGAAACCTTGATGAATTTATTCATCACTTGATGGCAACCTAACCGTAGGTCTAACTTTTTCGGCTTAAGGTTTCAATACACCTAATGGAGGACTGGAGGAGGTTGGAATTTATGGTGGTGACGGTGCTACTGCTTGTACTCCTCCATTGTTGTGGAGTTGGCGGAGGTGATGCTCTTGGCTCTAGTTTGCCGGTTGTTGGCCATGACATCCGGTTTTCGATTTCGTATGTGTTGTTTGTATCATAGAAACAGGCATCTATCTCAGTTGTTGAAAGATGGATTCTAAACTCAAGACGAGTGATATGTATGGGAGCAGTCGAACTGCACCGCGCTGCAATCATCTAAACTGCATCGCACCACTTATTAAATAGATCGCGCCACATTCGGAATGCAATCATATCGGTGCGATCGAACTGAAATGCATAAATATGCGGTTTCCCGGCGGTGTAGATCCAAAACCGCACCGCAAACACATTCAAAAACAAAGGTACACATCTGGAGAAAAATTGCAACAAAATTATAAAGTGTTGTATCCTCAAAAACTTATCGACCGCTGTTGGCCATTACGAGCCGCTCTTCACCATGACGCCAGGGAAAATTTGAACTTGTTTCGGACTTGAACATTTCACCTGGTTTGCTCTCAGTCCTTGAACAAATATACATCCAGGCGAAGCCAGGTGATCAGAGGAAGTTCGAAATGGTGTGGATTCCAGTGCGGACTCGTCCATCTAGCAGACTGATTCTGTTGGGAAGCAGTTGGAGAGTCTCCAATCAAGAATGCCTTGATGCTCTGTCCACCGTCCTTCCGCCATTAAAAGGTCAGCGATTAAGTTCATCACGGAGAAATGGCTGTTCAGGAACAGAGCTACTATCCTGGTGGTGCTTGATCCACATGGCAGTGCAGTCTCCCCAATGTCCTGCACATGAAATGAAATCGATTTGGGCAGTGCATGCTTGAGGGAAAGCATTTCTCTGGGTAGAAGACACATGGTGGCCTGATCTTATTGTTGATGGAATTGACTCCCGTCATTCTTGACTGGGTACGCACGTTTGAGAGTCTGCAATCAAGTTTGCAGTTTTGAGCCGCCATTTCAGTTTGAATCGACCGCAAACCGTCAAATGCATTATACATGTAGACCGCAAACTTGTTGGTGTAATTCGGTTTGACCTGATATACGGTTCGGTTGTGATCCGACTCACTGACTGCCTCAATGCCCACCCCTAAATTATGTATGACATTCATACCGTCATGATGCGAAAGAAAAGAGGAGGACGGGTTTATGGTTGGCTCGGTTAGCTGAGGTATTTCGTGGGTCGATCATTGTCATTTGTTGAGTTGTCGGCTTACCCGCTCTGGACTATCTTCAACCGGTCGGATGGTTTGATTTGGTTAATATACCAGCTCCCTCCCGTACACGTTTTTGGTTTGTTGGTGCCTTCCCACTAATTCCATTATTATGAAAGGGTTGGGTGACAGTTTTCCCAGAAAGATGCAAACACCAATTCAAATAAAGAAGATTAGAAGAAGAAAATCCCATCTCCAAAACGTCTTTAGCAAGGGCGGTGTCTGTCTCTCTCCTTAACCTCAAGTCCTTTCCCTTTCCCAGTTTAGCGGCTCCGTCACGTGAAAATACTCTGCTGCCGCCCTGCAGCTCTTCTTTCTCTCCGTCGGAGCTTTCTGTCCAAAACGCTTAATCCAATCACTAGACGCCAACTAATCTCCATTCCTCCACGCGTCGCCTTCTCTTTCGTCTTCCCCGATTCTTCTGACACTACCTCTTTGTCCCGTTTCTTCCTCCCTCAAAGCTTCATTTCAGCTCTCCAAGTGGCCCTCCTCGCCGTGTATCTCATCCAAAGAACATGACGGCAATCTCCTCCGCCGGCGATCGGAAGCACCGTCGCGGTTCCAAGGTCCCTCTCCTCCCTCAGAAGCGCGACGACCGGGATTACGACGACTGCCAGTCAGCGGAGGTCGGATTCGATGGCGCATCCTTCTCCGGCGCGGTCTTCAATCTCTCCACCACCATCGTTGGTGCCGGAATCATGGCCCTTCCGGCCATCCTCAACCAATTGGGGTTGATCCCCGGCCTTCTCATGATTCTTCTCGGCGCTTGGGTCACCGAGCTCTCCATTGACTTGGTCCTGAGATTCGGCCGCGCTTCCAAGACCAGCACCTCCTACTCCGGAGTCGTCGCCGATGCTTTCGGTGGCTTCGCCCGCACGCTTCTTCAGGTCTGCATTGTCGTCAACAATCTTGGAATGCTCATCGTCTACTTGATTATCATCGGTAACGCACTTTCCCCTTTCTCTCCGATTGAAACAATTCTCCATCCCCAAAAGAAAAAAAAGGGGAAAAAATTACAACGAATTCGGCCTGGAACTGGATTCAGTGCACAACTGCCAAGTGGGTGGGGAAAACGTTGCGGCCTTTACACGTATGATCCAGCTGGTTCGCGAACCGAACGGATTAATAATAAAATAATGTCTTGGGTGGTTCAGTTCATAGATGGCCGGACGTTTGATTAACAGTGAGTGATTGCGGGAGAACGTGGTTGACGTGGTAATACGTTGGTTTGTTTGTGGTGGGCAGGGGATGTATTAGCTGGGACATGGTCAGAAGGTGTTCATCACTCAGGGCTGGTGGAGGAATGGCTTGGCAGCCACCATTGGTGGACTGCTCGTTCAACCTTGTTGCTTCTCACCACTTTCCTCGTCTTGGGCCCTCTTATTTCATTCAAGCGCGTTGGTAAGCTAGACTAGTTCAATGTTCCATGATTGAGATTGAGATCATTGGTTTAGCTGAATCAGACTTTGTCAAAGTCTTGGCTACCCATTTTTATTGAATTATATCAATGGGCAGTCTTGGTCTATTCGAGTCAAACTTCTAGATAGAAGTTGCCACTACCGGTACTACACTTCGTCTATACTAATCATGGTTCAGAGATGGGTGATCATTTGTTTATCACTTCAGTCTTCGAGGGAAACATGTTCATGTCTTTGTTTATTAATGGGACCCTGTTGAATCAACAGAAAGAGTGGGTTTATGATGTTGAAATTTTTCATGGTGTTTGTATGAGCTTGGCATATGGGAGTTTGAGATCATGATCAAAGGCTGCAACTTTCATCTCTGTGATTTCAGATTCATTGAGATACACCTCTGCGTTGTCGGTGCTTTTGGCCGTTGTGTTCGTGGTAATCACAGCTGGAGTTGCGATTGTTAAGCTAGCTGAAGGAAGTATTGGGATGCCTCGGCTGATGCCCCAAGTGAAGGACCAGGCAGATTTTTGGAAACTTTTTACAACTGTGCCTGTGATCGTCACTGCTTATATCTGTCATCACAATGGTAGGTTAAGGAGTTTGAACATCGCTTCATGACTGTTAAGCTCTGCATTTCCACCAAAACTCAGTTAGTGCCCGAATGCCTGCAACTTGGTGCTGCCTTGTTTGTTAGTCTTGTTAGTGCCTGGATGCTGCAACTCTCCATCATATCATGTTTACTTTCTAATGCACCAATATCTCTACTTTGAAACTCCCTAGATATTTGCTCATCATGTAACAATATGTTTGCTTGCAGTTCACCCAATAGAGAATGAACTCAAAGATCCCTCTCAGATGAAGCCTATCGTTCGAGCATCCCTCACATTGTGCTCGTCCGTCTACATTGCCACCAGCTTCTTTGGAGTTCTTCTTTTCGGGGATAAGATAATGGATGATGTGCTCACCAACTTCGATGGTGATCTCGGAATTCCATACAGCTCACTGATTGATGATATAGTGAGAATTAGCTACGGTGTACATCTCATGCTTGTGTTCCCTATTGTGTTCTACTCGCTTCGACTCAACCTGGATGGTCTATTCTTCCCGTATGCGATTCCCATATCCAGAGACAACAAGAGATTCTTCTCCATAACCATCGCTCTCATGGGATTCATCTTTGTTGGAGCAAATTTCGTGCCTAATATCTGGGATGCCTTCCAATTCACTGGAGCCACAGCTGCTGTTGCTGTTGGCTTCATCTTTCCAGCTGCTATTGCTCTTAGGTAAGCAACTACGCAGTTTTCTTAACCAGTTCTGTGTATTGTAGTTCTGTTATCCAAATCGAGTATATATATATCTTTTCTCACTCCTCGTGTCTCTCCAGGAATGCTCACGGGATCGCGACAAAGAGAGATCGCGTTGCAGCATGGCTAATGTTGTTTTTGGCAGTAACCACCAGTACAGTGGCGATTTGTAGCGATGTTTACAGCATTTTGAGCCCTGATAGTGACATAACAAGCTGACACAAGGCAACAGTTGGTTCAGCAACTTTTCTTCTTCTTCCGTTTGTTGTATTTACAATATTCAGGTACAAGAAAGCCAAAATGCACATAACATCAACAGGGTTGTAGGGCATCCCATGACCGAGCTTTCTGGAAGAGTTCCCCCACCATGTCCGAAGTTCCAGTGTGATATTAGTGATAATATATACCCTTTTCGATAGTTTACATTCGTTGATCTTGAGTGGAACCGAGGCAAGAAATTTGGCCTGGTTTTCGATGATCCAAGACCATAATTTTTTTGCATAACCCTACACCTGGATTAATCGGATGATAGGAGACTGACATTATACTATTGTTATACACTGGATGTCCTTTTATAGATGGATTTCATATTCCATCCCTTTGCTCTTATCTCTTGAAGGAATCCTGAAGTTGAATTTTGGGAAGATCAGAGAATTCATTGGATGTCCTTTTATAGATGGTGCCATCAATTGTTTATCCCACTTTAATCATATTGAACCTGAATAATTTTTTTGTGTTTCTATAAATGAAGGTTAAACTTTGTCAATCTATTTATACAACCATTGAACCTTCTTCAGTCTCTCTAACATCCAAACCCCTTTTTGCATCATGAGTTTGAAAGAACTTCGCTTCTTTGGATTCTAGGGACTGATCTTCGGCACCCGCAATTACTTGTAACGATTAGGGATTGAGAGAAAGAATTAGGGATTTAGATGAGAAAGAACATAATAGAATTGGGAATCGGCCGAGGCCTTGGATTAGGAGAGAATAGAAATTAGGAGTTGAGAGGAATTAGGTTTCGAAGGATACTTTGTTTAATACTTTTCTTGACTGCCTATGACGTAACCCAAAGTACATATTTATAGGGTAAATACCGGAAAACCCTAATAATAATCCTAATCCGACTAAATCTCCTACTAACCATAATTATCATATCCTACCTAATATAATAAGAGGAACCCCAATAGGGCGGGTATATGACATTCCACCCCTCTTGAAATCAACATTGCCCTCAAGGTTGCAGTCGCATTTTGCCTTCTTAACCCTCCGCTTTCTTTGCTTCCAATTGCGCTCAACTCCACGAATAAACTTTTCTCGCGTCAGTCC